GGGCCCTGGAATATCATTTTATAGAAAATCTAAAATTATTGTTAAAAGAAAACCAAATTATGAAATAGGCTGGTTTTATAGACTCTATCCCTTCCCCTTTACAAACGATGATTTTCCGTTATAACTATAAATAAAATGATGTTTTTTATTCATCTAATTCATTATAAAGTTTATTTAACAGTTTAAAAAATTCGAAATTGAAATGAATAGTCTAGGGAACATACTGTATTAATGTACTCTACTGCATATAATTTGTGAACATTTACATGATTTGTACGCTTCGAACTCCCTTTCAGGCTGAAAGGGACTAAAAAATTCATACCGAGAGATTCTTTGAATTCCCCTCTAATATATATTCTATTCTCTATGGCCATTTACCACTTTTTGTGCCAATTAAACTAAAATAAATCTTTTGATATTAATTTTACATTTTTTAAGGATAAAACAGAATATAAGATAAAAACAGTTTTATTGATCATGATTTAGGGATTTAGATATATTTGGCTTTAAGAATTACTTTAGCACCTTTTTTAATAAAAATTTTAGCTTTTAACTTTTACTTCTAAACTCGCGTGTATCTTTCATAGTTCTCATAATAACAAATTAAAATTTTGCTGTTTAAAGCTGGATCCGATCGGTTCATCCGTCTTGAAGTTTATTAGAATAGCGAAAGTATACAATTTAAATGATTGATACAATTAAGCATACAAAAACTTTGAAAGTACAAATATGATTTAAGTCCAATTTGATAGAGAAAAATATTAGATTTTTTTTAAACCTTTTTATTGCAGAAATCAGTTTGTTTAAAGGAAAAATTAAAGGGGGTATAGGCTAAAACCTGAGAATCTCAGGTGTTGAACGATACATATAACGCATCTATCTGATGTTCCTGTCTCGAGAAATTAATATATAACCGTGTCAAAATTATACGAAAATCTATATATACATTCTTTAAGTTCTTTAAGTTAAAGACCGAGGCTTGCAGATAACTTTGAATTGTTTTGGAAGTACTGTAATTCCAGTGATACAGTCCTCTGTTGGAAGCATTCCACTGATCTCTGGTTGAAGGTGAAACTGTTGAACAATACTAGCAAAGAACAGAAAAAGTTCTGCCTTTGCCAAGGTCTCACCCAGACATCGTCGTTTACCAATAGAGAATGGAATAAAATGCTCATCAAACTTCACTGCACCGGATTCATCAAGAAATCTTTCAGGTCTAAAAACCATTCCATCCCCCCAGTAATCTCCTTTAAGTATTTCAGTGAAGCAAGGACTGATCATAGTGTTGGCTGGAATTATCATTCCATTTACATGGACAGGCTTGTTTGACATGTGATGTACACCATTGGGCACAATATTGGCACATCTCTGAATCTCCATAAGAACAGCCTCGGTGTACGGTAGATTTGGTCGATCTGCAAGACTTGGCAACCTTGATCCCCCCACTACAGTATCAAGTTCAGTTTGAACCTTTCTCTGAATATCTGGCTCTCTAACCATGTAGAGGACTGCCCAGGTGAGGGTAGTTGATGTGGTTTCAGAGCCGGCAATAAAAAGATCTATTAGAGTGTTAACAAGGTGATTATACCCCACATCTTGATAAAAGCTTGATTCTTTGTCTGTTGTGTTCTCTATCTCAATGAGCATGGTATCAATAATATCCCTAGGAGAGTTAACATCCAGAGTTTTTTTGTGCTGTTCAATGCTATTACGAACCAGGTTTGCAATTGCTTGGTTAACTTCTATGTCAAGTTGACGTTGAAATATTTTGAATAGCCATGGATATACTATAGCAAAAACACCAGTTGGCTTTGCTAACTTTTGAAACAATTCTTTTAATTTCTCTAGCATTTCAATCAGTTTGGGATCACTGTACTCAAAACTCTCACCCACTCTGATTTTCCACAAGGCGTTTAGAATGGGGAAGTTAAATTTTCCTGCAATATCAATAGGTGTACAAGAGATCTGTTTCAAATATGCGATAAACTGCTTACTTTATCTTGAATCATCTCCTCCATGGTTGATTTGCCAAAACCAAAGTCGCGAAGAACTTTAAGTGCTGTTCGCCTTTGCTCTATCCAAGCTTTGCCCTGGCTCATGGTAACACCAGCAATGGGTCCTGGATTAGTTCCGCGGTCAATGGAAATTTTGTTAGCCATTCCACATTTTCTATAATCATTGTGTCCTCGGTTCTGCACATTTGGTTTAGCCCAAAAACATTCAAAAGCATCATTCCATTTGATGAGTATTTCCTGTATAGATCCCAAATGAGGGTTGCTGGATCTGAACCATGGGTGAATATCTTGTAGTGACCTATCAGTGGCAGAGATGCACCTGGAGAAGGCAAGAGACTAAACTCCTTCCTGGACCACTTGTAGTACAGGACGGTGAGAAGGAGGAGGAGTGATAGGAGAAGCCAATCAATTCCCCTGGTCAATTCCCCATTCCCCATAGAATTAGAAATTCCACAGATTTCCAAAAATTGGGGAAAAATTCTCCCAGTTGGCAACGCTGCAATGGAAATTGTGGCCTGTGGGTCTACAGAACTGGTTTCTTAGTTCAGAGAGTAGGGCAGACACAGGGTGTTGCCCAAGGAAGTTATGTGCGCTTGCCGCGTTGAATTACAAGAAAGAGAGAGATTAGTATATATTTTAGGGTTAGGCTATTTTTAGACAGTTTCTGGGCCGAGCGCTGCAGCTAGGCCAGAATATGGGGTTGAGCGCTGTGGGTAGAAATTAGGCTCTCTCTGTCTTTCTCTCTCTCTTGTAATTGAACGTGGCATGCGCAAGTGACTTCCTTGGGCTTCCACCCAGACAAAGCGGGAGGAGGGGGGGACCCCAGAAGTCCTCAGCGAGTAATCACCGCCACACAAATGTGTTTTGCGGCATGCGCGCTCCTTAATTGGTAATCTCCACCACCTCAATTGGTAATCACTGTCAAATTTTGTTTTCTGAGATTTTAATTTAATGCACTTTTAACACAATTTTCGACATCTATCGGGGTTTTATGGCATCTGTTTACTAAAAATTATCTCATCCCACGCAAAGTAATATCCATCTCCATTTAAAAGATATTTTCAAAAACCTTTACAGTGTTTAGATTTTTTTTATTTGCCTACTCGAGTTCATCATCTACAACAAAACATACTGAACTTTTGATCTACTAACTTTCCGACCTTCGCCAGCTGTTTATTTTTGTATTATTTGAGGGCTAGGTTAAGACAATTTCTGGGCCGAGCACCAATATAACATGCTTAGAAAGAACATAAAATTTTGAAAAATTAATCTCATCCCACCCCGTACTGAAAATGAAGTATTAAGTCCACTAATAATGGGTTAAAGTTTTCTCTCAAAATTGGCAACATTTCGTAATGTTACATCCTCTACACACAACATCCCCTTTACTGAACTTCTGACCTACTAACTTTCCAACCATAATTTTAACACAAAATTTGTTAGATTAAATGAAGTATAGTTTTGTAATAAAGTCCTATGCAGAATTTTAGGCCAGTAACATGAGCAAGGCCCGAAAAAACCTTGGTTTTAAGTAGCCAAGTTTTGGTGATGGTAATGCTTAAAAAGTCCTAAAATCTTTTTAAATTACAGAAAAGACGACATTGTATGGCTTCTGTGAACCCAATTGAGGCGTCTGGTTTTGCGTATAAATCCCAATGCAATGCCTACTCTTTATATTACAAAGCTCTTTGGGTTTACCCATACTTAAAAAAATAGTGTAGACGGACAAGTTTACTCTGTTTGTATCTGTAATTTTCTTGTTTTACTAATTGTACACCCTTATGCAGTCAAAACATAAACAAACAAATTGTAAACAACATACCAGACGAAACTCTTACGGATGACAGCTTTTTCAGTAGGTATCAATATACTAAATCAAAGAATCATTTAAAAGGCGATATCGAATTCGTCACTGAATTCTCATGTTTATTGGGACACCCTGTATCATCTTTATCCTTCTCATTATATTCTCAATAATCACCAAAAATCTCATTGAATTCTTATTATTCGACACTTATGTGATCTTCCACTTTTTCCTTCTCATAAATAGGTCCTGCTTGGGGGGGGGGCAACTTGACCGCCGCCCCCTGTAGTTTTTCTTACAACTTACAAGTTAAAAAAATATTGGTCTGAGTCTCTGAGACTGCTAAAATTTTCGGACTTTTTCCAAATACAAATAGCCCTCCTTTTTAGGTCTGAAACCGAGGACTTTAACACCAACTGCATAAGCCCTCAAGCACATTGCCTGAATGCGTACATTTTGCAAAAGTTTTTTTTGCATACACTCCTTCAAAGGAAAACTAAAGAGTATGACGACTCCAAGATCAAATTAAAGTTGTGGGTTAAATGTTGCAAATGCGCAGAGGAGAATGGGGGTAGCAGGCACGCATCTAGACATTCAGCAAGGGGGGGCAATTCTAATTTTTTTAGCATTATCTTTGTGTCATTTAAAAATCCAAATATCGGGGCATTTTTAAAGAACGGGGAAGAATAAAAAGAATCTGAGCTTATATTAAAATGTTATAGTTAAATTTAAGTTTGCTTAAAGAGTGAAGATTTTTAAAAACTTTTTTGGGGGAGGGGCATAATTTTTCTTTTAAATTTTCGAGAAAATTAGCTATTTTTGGAATGTCAACGATAGTTTAACGTAACGTAAAATGTACGTTTTGTCCGTTACATTAAAATAATGTGTAACGTTTGGATTTATTCTATATTACGTGAACGTTAAACGTTAACGTTATAGGAGCTCATACCTAACGTTAACGTTAAATGTTATAACGTTAGAGGAACATACCCCCAACGTTAGCGTTTTGTGGAAATATCTACAACTTTTTTGACCATAACGTAAAGAAATGTTTTGCTTCCAAGGGGAGTTTAAAAGTCTAACGTTTAAAAAATTAATTGTGATTTGATTGAATACCGTAACGAAAGGATTTCTATTTCAAAGTTCAACTTATAAAAAGTGTAACGTTGTAAAACTGAAAAATGTATTATTGTTTATGAAAACGTTTTGAAAAGTTTTTCCTTATAGTATAATGAAACTTCAACGTTGCAGAAATGGGTTATTATTTTAATAATCTGGAAACGAAAGTTTTTTTTTATAGAGTAAAATTTCAATAATGTAACGTATGACATTTAAAAAAATGTAATTCTGTAAATCAAAACGTTTCATAACTTTTCTCTGAATACTAAATTGTTTAGTCTAACGTTGGATATATGTCTGTTGAAAATATTGTCCATAAAACGTTAGACTATGAGGGCTGAGATTTAATTTCAAAAGTGTAACAATAATTCTGCCAATCAAAACATTTCAAAACGTCTCTTATCTATCAATGTAAGAGATTCGACTGATGATTATGACAGCAAAGGCTAATGGTTTTTCATTTCAAGTTTAAAGAAAATGTGTTGATGCCAAAAACTCTAGTTTTCATTTAATACATCTTTGCAAACCGATGTCGTAGACCATTAATATTGAAATATACAAGGTTCAAACCAACGGGTTGGAAAAATATAGGGATTAGTAAATTTGAAAAAAAACTTAGTTCCTTTCTAAAGTGTAAACGAGTTTTTTTTGTGACATGCTATTAGTGAAAATTCAAATCTTATAAATGTTTCTTGGACATTAAAGGTTTTTGATTCTGCCATTGTTTGATGAAACCCACTAAAACTCTGGAAAAGGAAGACGACATTAAGAAATTTTACCTATGCATTTTCTGTTATAAAGCAAATGATTTACTAATTGCAAAAAAATCACCTTATTAAGTGGAACGGGTCTGTGAACAAACACAATTGCTTGGTTTCATGTTTATTTGACTACTTGAAATCATAACTTCAGTTGGCATGGTTCATGTTTTAGGTTGAAAAATTTAGAAATGTAGATATTTACTAATGCAACAATTTTTTATCAAATGGAAAATGCGTGTTTAGTTTTATTCATCAATAGATTTTTATGAAACATTAGAATAAAAAAAAATGATTTTTTGATCGATTTTTTTCAAAGAAAAAATGTTAAATAATTTTATTTCGTGTTGTTTGTGTTAAAAAAACGTTAGCACTTGTCTTACTATATTTGATATTTTTTAACCCCAAACATGAACTCTGAAAACATTTTCATTGTGGTTTGTAAACTAAAGCTAATGCCGCTTTTTAACTCACTTTGTAAGTAACATAAAAAAAAACACAAAACACATTCGATTTTACATCGGTTTCGGATTGTTTTCGGGACATTTTTCCAAATATCTTCCGCCAGGGTTAAAATTTGACATAGTGAATGTTAAAAATAACAGTTTAGAAAATAATGTTATTTTTTACCCTTAAGGAAAATATAGAAAAAAAACGAACAAAAAACGAAGGAACTGAATGGACATCACAAAATAAAAGTCTACAACCAATTTATGTTAAAATTAAAACATACCATTTTATGGCATACCAGTTTTTCGGTATTTACCTCCCCTCCTCTATTACTAAGCCTCAAGTTTTGCTTCTTAGTTCCATTGCCTATATACATAGAGAATGAGACATCTATCTATATATACTATATGCTTGGGTGTCTGTTTGTTTGTACACAAGAAAATGAAATCCAAACGTAAAAACGGCTAAATTACGTCACAATTTTGGAGGCGGCTAACATTGACACCAAACAAGTTTCATGGATTCTCAATATTACAAAAATTTTGAAATCCACGGGGAAATGTTAAATCCACAAACTTTTCTTATTGTTGTTTAATAATGTACAATGTACAAAGGGAACATGCCTCTACAAACAGAGCCGGCCACGAACAAAACCGAAATAGATGATCGACGCGAAGCGCCATAAAACCCTAGTTTTCAGTCAATTTAATAAAACATAATTTTTAATGGTGAATTAATTGATTTTTCGACAAAAAAACTTTGTAGAAAGCTGACAAAACTAATGAATAAATTCAGTTCAGTGGTATCTAATATCTCATCTGTAGAGGCCGGGTATGTTGTCAAGTTTTTTTTACTTCTATATACAGATTTATTGATTGATAATGAGTTACAAATATCTGAAACAAATAAATCAAGAATCTATTTCAAAATTTTGGTAAAACTTTCTAATCTTTCCTTTCCCTTTTATGAAAGGCCTTCCATTCCTTTCGCTTTTCCCTTTCCCTGCCTTTCTTTCTTTACTTTCCTTTTTTTTCTCTTTCCCTGCTTTTTCTTTCTTTACTTTCCTTCTCTTTCTCCCTTTCACTGCCTTTTTTCTTTACTTTCTTTCTCTTTTTTCCTTTCCCTGCCTTTTCATTCTTTACTTTCCTTCTCTTTTTCCCTTTTCTTATATCTCTTCTTTTATCCTTTTATTCTTTTCTTTTTCAAACTTCCTTTTCCCTCGTCCTGTATCCTCCCATTTATTCTCTTCGATCTTTTTCGCCTTCTTCCCTCTTC